AACTCATGAATGACTGAAGTTGTCAGTATGGGCAGGGCGGGTGGGAGATGAAAAGAAAAACAGTGGGATTTGCTTGTTTGTCTTAAGGCTGGTTTATTAGGTTTGCAAAATGTTGCTTCCCCCCTTCAAAAAAAGCGAGGATGCCCCACTCACTTAAATGTTGTAAGAACAATAAGTGACGCTAACAGCAACCCATTCATACTTGATTATTATCTGCAGTACAAATAGCCTACAGAATTTGAGTCATTTGGAATGTGGTGCTGGAGGATTGCTTTGTGGCTATTCTGGACTGCCAGAAAGATGGACAAGTGGGTCCTACAGTTAATCAAGCCTCAACTATCTCTGGAGCAAAAAATGACGGCACTGAGCATGTCCAGCTTTGGAAACATCAGGAGAAGGCAGGATTCTCCGGAAAAGACAATAATGATGGGAAAGGAGGAAGGCAGCAGGAAAAGAGGAAGACCCAATACAAGATGGATTGACTCCCTCAAGAAAGCCACAGGATTGAGTTTGCAATAGTTGAGCAGGGCTGTCGCCATGAGTCAGAGGTGACTTGACAGCACATAACAGCAGCAACAACAGCAGCAGTAGCAACACATCCTTTGCCGAATGGCACCAACCAACAGCATGGAACCAATGTGGAGGTAGCTGGCAGACAGTGAGATTAGATACAAACAGGAAAAGAAAAGGAAGGACACATAAGGAAGATTGTAACCTTTTTTAAGCAGTGAAGAAAGGTGGAAAAAGAGATAATGAAAGCACATGAGTTTCAGCATAGCTAGTCAACAAGTTTTACCAGCATAACATTCAGGGGGAAAAAATTCTTCCCTTATCTTCCTGTCTCCGCAATCTAAAATACTGTGTAACATTTGATACTAAATGGTTTGTTGTACATACCTCCATCATTTGCTTTAAAGCCCACAAGCAGTATTATTCAGAGATAGGTTTTCCTTTAGATCTTCCTGACCCCATACAGCCTTGGTTTCTTTTATTTATGTATTTCAATTTCATTCTCTGGAGCAACATTACAGTGGTGCCTCGCTTTACGATTGCCCTGCATTATAACGAAACCGCATTACGATGATCTTTTTGCAATCGCAAAATGATGGTCTGAATGGGGTTCTTTCGCTTTGCGATGATCGGTTCCCTGCTTCAGAACTGATTCTTTGCAAAACAACGATTTTCCTCCAGCTGATCGGCAGTTTCAAAATGGCCGCCGGGTAAATATAATGGCTCCCTGCTGTTTTCTGGGATGGATTCCTCACAAGACAGCCACTGAAAATGGCCACCCTATGGAGGATCTTCACTGGACGGTGAGTTTCCAGCCCATTGGAATGCACTGAAGGGGTTTCAGTGCGTTTCAATGGGCTTTTTATTTTCACATTATGACGTTTTCGTTCTACGGCGATTTCGCTGGAACGAATTAATGTCGTAATGCGAGGCACCACTGTATATAGCTACTGTTGGGGCAACTCTGGAGAAACAGGGCTTCAAAACCTGCACCCATTTTAAAGTTGCCATTACACACAGTCACACAAATTATAACTATTTGCTCTAAACTCTCCGGAGCTTTGCCAAAGCCCCCGTTTGCTGGGATAATAAAAGCGGATTGTTTTGCTCAAGATTTTTAGTGACTTTGGAGAACATGGATTGGCATAAAACTTGAGATGCCATTATGTTGTATGGCGTGTGTTGCTGTTTTAAAACAATCATTAAACCACTTAACTCTACATCCCTGAAAATACCGTGAGCTACACTTGGGTTGTTAAAGACTGGGTGCATATTGTAATTTTTTTTAAGTGCACGCTTTGATAAGCCTGCTGAAAGCAAATATTCTTAAACCAAGGCAAGCTGTTGTCTGAGAAAATAAGATGAGTTCTGCTTGAACAGGCCAAAGGCCGTTCTGGTCCAGCATTTTGCTTTTCACTGTGGCCAGCCACGTGCCTCTGGGAAGCTCCTAAGGAGGTCCCGGGTTCAACAGAACTCTCTTTCTGCAGCCTCTGAACCTGGGAGGACCTTCAGGCCATCAAACCAGTAGCTGTTCCCATTCTTCCCGATGAATTTGTCTACTCTTCTAAAGTCTTCCAAGTCTGATTGCCATTCCTACCTCTTGTAGTAGCACATTCTACAGATTAAGCTCTGTGACATTTGAGGAGATACTTCCTTTTGTCTATTTTGAATTGCCCGATATTCACCTTCACTTCTGCACTATTCTTTGTAAATATGAATTGCCCGATATTCACCTTCACTTCTGCGCTCTTCTTTGTAAATATCCCCGAGAGACGTGGTGGCGCTGCGGGTCAAACCGCAGAAGCCTCTGTGCTGTGAGGTCAGAAGACCAGCAGTCATAAGATCGAATCCATGCAATGGAGTGAGCCCCCGCCGCTTGTCCCAGCTTCCGTCAACCTAGCAGTTCGAAAGCATGCAAATGCCAGTAGATAAATAGGGACCACCTTGGTGGGAAGGTAACGCCGTTCCGTGTCTAGACGCGCTGGCCATGTGAACACAGAAGCTTGTGTTCGGACAAGCGCTACCTCTATGGGTTGGTAATGGAGATGAGCACCACCCCCTAGAGTCAGACATGACTGGACATATTGTCAAAGGGAACCTTTACCTTTACCTTGTAAATATCCCAGCTGTCTTCCCACTGAGCCTCGTGGCGCAGTGGTTAAACTGCTATATTGCAGCCAAAACTGTGCTCACGACCTGGGGTTCAATCCCAGGTAGCAGCTCAAGATTGACTCAGCCTTTTATCCTTCCGAGGTCAGTAAAATGAGCACCCAGCTTGCTGGGGGGGGCAATGTGTAGCCTGCATAATCAACTTGTAAACCGCCCAGAGAGTGCTTGAAGCGCTATGGGGCGGTATATAAGCAGCATGCTTTGCTTTTGCTTTTCTTTCTCTCTCTCAATCTCTGGCTCCCCACAGACTCTTATTAGGTCCTACTTCTTCCATAGCTGGGGTCAAGTCCAAGTCATCAGGCACAGCCTCACAGTTTCCTCCTCCATATTTGAATTTTTACCCAATTTGAGCATCTGCCAAGTTCTCTATTGCAGCTTTGCTCCCTATCTTCCTTGGTCCCTTCTTGCCCTCTGCTTCCCTGCATTGTTGATATTTTAATTCGGTTTCAACTCCCAAATGTGGATAGCAGACCACCCTGCAGTGACTCAACACGCCTAGGAATATTGTAGAAGGAGTAAGGAGCATGCTGTAATTTAGGGTCAAACTACACATTACAATAGCACACCAAGGGAGAATTCTTTATGTTCTGGAAGACATCTGGCTGTTACAGCATGAATACACATGCCTTTTATAGTTGGCAACTATATCTGGGATTGGCCATCAAGTGCTAAACACTGGCTTTGTTTTCTTAGGCACCAACTCACCTGGAATCAAATTCTGGAGCACAATTTCTACTTGCAGTAAGGTGCTCTCTGTAATGTCTCATTTGACTCTTGCTATGTACAGCAATGAATGTACATCTATAAACCAGCTCTTGCCTTGGTCAAGGTCAACTGAAGTAAAGTCAAACAACGAACATTCTGCCCTCCTCTTTCAGTTTTCATTCATTTGCGTCTTCTCAGGTATTCCGAGAATGGGACAGGCAAGAATGGGGACAGGAGATGACCCATTCAAATTGTACAGTCTCTTTGTGCAATAGAATGTGTGGAACATATATAAGGAGAGCTAGGTTTTAGAATGAAAACTTCCAGAATACTACACCCAGAATGGACAATGGCCCTACCAAATAGTTTTTTTCTAGAATTCGTAACTTTTGCTACCTCTGAGATTGAGGCAGAAATGGCTTTGCATTTTCACATAATTCTTTCAGGTTTAAAACTCCATAGACTTGTTTTATTTATTTATTTATTTATTTTATTTATATCCCGCCTATCTAGTCGCGAAGACTACTCTAGGCGGCTTACAACAAAGTTAAAATACAATACCTGTGAACTATAGTGACAAGAATTGACTGTACCCCTTTAGACTTCATCTAGGGCTGTTGAGTGAGTAACATTCCCTTTCCTGAGATTCGGGGCCGAAAACTGTGAACTGAAGCAGGGGTCTTATGATGTTAGAAAATTGGAGTTTTGCGACATCGCAGAGGGTGGTGGAAGATTTGAAAGGGAACTGTAATTGCATGTGGGCCAACAAATATAAAAACAGACATGAGGTGGATTTGGGTTCAAAGGCTTTGAATTAATGTAAAATATAGCTTATTAGGTAAGAGGGCAACTCAAGCTGCAGAAAAATGGGGAATGGGCCAGTAGCAAAGTGTGCTCAGTGGCTGCTGCAGTTGCCACTGCTCTCAATTGGTTCCACACGCCTTCTGAGGCTTGTGGAAGATTTGTTGTCAGTCTAAAAGGAATTATCTCTGAGCCCTGCTCTGTTGCTGCCACAGCTTGTGCAACAAGAGGGCTCATGAGTCACTGTGCAGGTGCTCAACGCCTTTTCTTGTCTCAAAAGGCCCAGTGGAGCCAAGCGCATCCGTCCACTCATTCTCTTCCCAGTCTACTCCCCTCACTCCTGGCTCTTTGGTGTTGTGCATGCACAACACACACATATAAATGGCCTTTCCATTTAGCCAGTGAATGCTGACAGTTGGCTGGAGATCACTGTGGGTAGTTGGGAATGAATGCTGAAGCTGGAAAGTCACCTCATACCAAAAAAAATTAAAACTCTTTCCTCCTCCACTACTCTTTACTCTGAGATTTGTTCCCTTGCCTATAAACCAGGAGATGTGGCTATCCTAGACCTGTAGATAGCACACTCCTCCTTACACTACAATAGGAGGACATCCAGGAGAAAGGACCTTTCTGGCTTACCTCCTGTTGTAGTCGTTTTTCAAAATAATAGGGGTTTTGAATGGGGTTATGTTCATCTGGGTTTTTTTACAGTAATGCAGGAGGACCATTAAAAGCAGGACCTCCTACCTGTAGTTGTTATGGTCATAAAATGTGCTGAATACATGCTCCACACAATGTACAGTAGCCCACCAAACCTTAACTCCTCTCCTTCTTTCTTCTTCTTCTTCTGACTTCTCAAGGAGAGGATGCCATACACGTGGCAGGGTTTGATCCATGAAAGATGGGATAAATTGAGCTGAACGGGAAACCATCTGGCGCCTCTTTTGTTCCAGTGAAAATGGAGACAGTTGGTCTAGTGACCCTGGCAACTCTTGAGGCAGGAGAAAAGAACTTCCCCCAAGGTCTCGTGTCCACCTGCTCCACAGGTTCTTCCATCCTGGAAATGTGTTGCTCACCTTGCACATTTTTCCACGTAACCGCTTGCTCTGTGAAGAGAAATGGGGGAGTCCATAATCGAATCAATGACAAAAGGATGGGTGGGTGGGGCAGGGTGGACTCGGGAGAAGAAAGGTGCAGAAGCCTGTGTAAGATACAGTAAAAATGCCCATGACAAGCCATGATAAATGGGTCGTTATAAAATTCATGTTTAGGCTGCACTGGTCTGGGGATAATGTCATTTGTCATGGCAACACAGGAGCACTAATGAGCCCTCATTGCATATTCATGGCTCTGTGTGTGTGTGTGTGTGTGTGTGTGTGTGTGTGTGTGCATGCGTGCATGTGTGCATGTGTGTGTGCGCACGTGTGTTCCTTCCCATCCTAACCCAATGGTTGGTAAATATCCCCACTTTAAGCTCAAACTCAGCTTTGCACCTCTCTACTCTCTCTCTCTCTCTCTCTCTCTCTCTCTGATGTTGCAGCAATTATACTGTAAAAGTGCAGCCCAAGATTGATTGCTTGGATCTGTAGTTCAATTGTAAATTAGAATATGTATCCTCCCCAGGGATCCACGGGCCCCTATTTGTGATTAAGAAAAAAGCCCCATAATAGACTAATAGCCAAAAGTTCTCTCTCTTTTACTTTCAGGCAATTAGCTTGATGAAATGGCCTCTTTCTGTGTACGCTGGAAGTGTAAACCGATATCATAATGAAGTATATGATGTTTATTCTATTATTTTCACCTTCTTGTGTATGGAGGGATTGTGGAGTGGGGGGGGGGAGAGAGAATGCATAAGTAATAGGATGCTTTGTCTGCTCCGTTTACTAATGGTAAAGTAAAACTCTTCCTTAAAGAGGCAGTGTGGTTCTCTCAGTGTCTTTAAATTAAGCCAGATGTTAAGTGCATCCCATGTTTCCCTTTCAAGACTGCTTTCCTTACAAGATTCTCCATTCCGTTTGGGAAGATTATGGGATAACATCAGCTGGGCCAGCCCGACTCTTCAGCAGGAACCTTCTAAAAGTCTGAGTCTGCTTTAAAACAAGGTGCTTGCTCAGAATAGGATTCTGAAAATGGAGGTTATTTGCTTCCACCGTCAGATATCATTGGTGATACAGCAGAAATGGTCCATGGCAGTTTCCGGAAGATTTAGTAATCCCCTAAACCCATTAATTTGTCCACCTCTCCTACAGGCACAACATCTGAGTCTGTGATAGTAATATTTCAACTTAGGCTACCTATCCGAGTACAGGGTAAAGACAAAATGTCAATAAAGCTTTCGCTCAACTGGAGTTCTGTCTTTCCACTTCAGCTTGCTCCGTGAGCTCTTGAAGGAACATTATTTCTATATAAGAGGCTTAGAGCATCGTTTGAACCTCTCTTGAACTATTAAGACCTCAATGCAGTTTTACACGGAAGACCAAGAGGAAGTCCTTGGCATTTTGAACACAGATGGACATGCTGATGAAAGCTAGTTTTAGAGTTGAATTGCAAATCTGACTACAATACAGAAACCTCACATGTGAAGACAGTCCTCCAAAGCTGTTTCTGAGTGCTGCATTTTGTATGAACTTGTTCATCCCGGCCCTTGTGCCCCACTGTCACAGCACTGAAAATATGTGGGTTTTTTTGGGGGGTGACACAATCCTTTCACCTAGTGCAGCCATATATCAAATGGAGGATGTTCTCATAAACAAAGCACTGCAGGCTGTGATCTTATCGGTTGCCTCTTCCTTCTTCACAGCCCTGCTCAATGACAAACATGCGCTTTCTGCTAAATGTTTTGCTCCAGTTCCTGTACAACGGGCTTCAGGAAGGAAACAGTGCTGGTTTAGGAGCAGCGAGCTGTCCTGAAAAATCTGGACTGGCTGGTCATGTGGCAGTGAGAGGAGATAAGAACGGCTATGCTATGATCCTGTTTTCTTGATGGGCTGCATTAAAAATAAAACAAAATCTCTTTATGGTGCACAAGGAACTGTGTTGTACCATGGCAGAAACGAATCACCGATCCTCCTTTCTCAGGGTTGAAATTTTTATTTTGGATTCTAATGGCCATCAGTTCCCACTCAACATGGCCAATAGGCAGCAGTGACGCCAATATTGTTAGCTATGATCCTGTTTTCTTGATGGGCTGCATTAAAAATAAAACAAAATCTCTTTATGGTGCACAAGGAACTGTGTTGTACCATGGCAGAAACGAATCACCGATCCTCCTTTCTCAGGGTTGAAATTTTTATTTTGGATTCTAATGGCCATCAGTTCCCACTCAACATGGCCAATAGGCAGCAGTGACGCCAATATTGTTATACTCCAACAATATTTGGACTACCTTCTTCAGCCATGTGACCTTCCAGGTGTATTTTACTTACAGCACCCATTAGGTCTAGCCAGGTGACGCCAATATTGTTATACTCCAACAATATTTGGACTGACTTCTTCAGCCATGTGACCTTCCAAGTGTATTTTACTTACAGCACCCAGCAGAGACAGTGACGATGGATTATGGAAGTCCAAAAAAATCTAGAAGACCATGATGGACCACCTTCGTGCTGTAGTACTACTTAGGATGTAATATTCAGCTTGTACATCCTATCTAGTAGTTATTGTTATACTCCAACAATATTTGGACTGACTTCTTCAGCCATGTGACCTTCCAAGTGTATTTTACTTACAGCACCCAGCAGAGACAGTGACGATGGATTATGGAAGTCCAAAAAAATCTAGAAGACCATGATGGACCACCTTCGTGCTGTAGTACTACTTAGGATGTAATATTCAGCTTGTACATCCTATCTAGTAGTAGCACTTGGGATTATTCAAACCATTTGCACAGTCTTGCCACAATCTGTAATCTTTAAATTAAGACACTAGGATAATCCTCCAATAGTATAGATGGAAAGGCCAAGGCTAGAAGAAGCAATGCCTTCTCTAAGGTGATAACAGAGGTGGGATTTGAACCACTATCTTCTTCATTCTTTTTTAGCTCAACAGAGGTGGGATTTGAACCACTATCTTCATTAAAAATTCAGTCGACATCCTTTTTTAGCTGTTTGTTGTTCCATGTCAGCACTATCTGTGCTTTACTGTTTGTTTGTTGTTGTTTTTTGCTTCATATTTGATCTGGTGCCTCACTTAGAGCTGTGGTACCCAACCATAGGCTAAACATGAATTTGACCCAACTCCAGGAGGCAGTGGAAGACAGGAGATCTTGGCATGCTCTGGTCCATGGGGTCACGAAGAGTCGGACACAACTTAATGACTAAACAATAACAACAAAGCCTCTTGTCTTCCTCCTCCTATCTGTGGTAAACTCAAGATTCCTCCCTCCCTTCCTGATTCATGGTAACCACTGTTCGCTTTAATGTCAAAATCAGGTAAAATACAATTCTTCCAATCCAGTGTTTAATTGGGGGTTACATTTCAAACCCATGATTGCCAGTTCTATGAGGTCTCCGTGGAATCAGATGTGCCGTAGTTTCTAGCAAGAAATAAATGATGATGGTTGTGAGGTGAAAAAAGCAGAAGTTGCATCTAGATTCAAAAATGAAGTCTGTTCTGCAAACATGTAGTCATTGATGTCCTGTTTTCACAATTTAGGTTTTATTGAGAGTTCCAAGCATCCTAATATTTCAATGCTGAATCAGCTGGCATTGGATTGGGTTGTGCCATATATGGTTTGGCCAGTCTATGAATGGAATAAATGCTTAAATTTAGTAGATAAATAAGTAAGTGTAGAAGTATGTCAGAGCAGAAGCTATAGTGTGCAAAAGCAAAAAAAGGGAGCATATGAACTTGACAGATGGGTCTTATGGCCATACCGTGATTTGGAAGACATCTGAGTTGAGTCTCTGTTTTCAATGAACCAGACTAAAATGAGAGACAAACATTCATCTATGATGCAATATTCAGTTACTGCACACTGACTGTGAGACCAGATTGTGATGTCACGGAATGTTCAATAGAGTCAGAATGTTTGTAACCGAACTTCAGCGAAAAATCAGATAGATTGAACCATTGCAGATGGATTCCAACTAAGCCAGCCTATTATTTTGTCTGCAACCTTTCCTTATTATACGTATATATTAAAGCCAGGACAGGTTTTTAGACTTTTAGTGCTTGGTGTTTTGTTCAGTACCAGTTTTTTTCCCCCCAGCAGTAAAATAATTTTAAAAAGCAGCTGTTAGCAGCACCTCATCCAACCCCCAGCCCCGTCTTGTGGTAGCAACGAAGCTTTGCCAAAAGTTAATTCTGCACAATAAAATTAATCCCATAGGTGTAAATATCCTCAAGATCTGCCAGGACTTTCAAGCTGTGCCAATGGCAAGATCGTGCAATTACAACTATTCCCCATAAGTGCTGGAGCCTTACAACATTAATAGATCATTTTAATGGGGGCAATTTTTAAAATTTGTATTTAATTTGCATGATTACGATGCTGAGTGTGCTTTGGACAGCCAAGTTGGGGAGAGATGTATTACAGGAGGGTAGGTGTGTGTCGGGGCTCCGTGATCTGGGATCAAAAGTCTAAAACTGGGGGTTACACACCTCTCTCTGACTACACGAACCTGCTGTGTAATAATTATTATTGTTAAAAATATGTTAAAAAGGCAAATAAGTCATGGTCACTGAAAAGGAGATGGGCTGTTTTAGAGATCCAATAAGAAATGGTGTTCAGAAATGGATGGTACCAATGGCTAAAGATCTGAACACCTTAGCGCATCATTTTGGGTCAAGGTATCTCCTCCTCTGACCACAAGACACCTATGGCAGACTTCTACTACATCATTACCCCCACTTGGTCCACCAAATCTAATTCCTTAAATCTGTTCTTCACTTCCACTGTGTATTCATAAGGGATTTGGTTTAGTTTATACCTGACTAGCTGAATGTTTTTTCCTACTTTCTTCAGTTTAAGCTATAAGAAGATGGTGATCAGAGCCACAATCAGCTCCAGGTCTTGTTTTTTTGCTGACTGTATAGAGCTTCTCCATCTTTGGCTGCAGAGAACATAATCTGATTTTGGTATTGCCCATCTGGTGATGTCCATGTA